GAATATATATGTAGCTCTGTGTACATTTTTGGCACTATATAAATACCTAATAATAGTAATAGATAAATAATGAATACCAAGCGTCCTCAGTACATTCATTTTCAGTCCTCTGATAAAACACTTTATTTTGAATCTGTTTATTCCATTGCCCTCTCCTCTCAGACTTACAGATGGAAGGGTGTATGGCCCCAGTAATAAATACCAAGCGTTGGATGATAACTCATAAACAAGCACTTGGCCTCAATCCCCACCCATGCATGCACGATTCACTCTCATAGAATACTGAGCTGCTAGAGACAAAGGACTGTGCGTGCGTGGGTAGGGAATGAAGCTAAGTGCTTGTTCATGAGTTACCATGCAACAATTGGTATTTATTGCTGGGGCCATACATTCAATTCTTGGCACATCCTGTCATCTGTAAGACTGATTAGGGAGGGCAATGGAATAAGCAGGTTAAAAATTAGGTATTTTATCAGAGGACTGAAAATTACAGTTGAAACTCGAAAAATTAGAATATCGTGCAAAAGTTCATTTATTTCAGTATTGCAACTTAAAAGGTGAAACTAATATATGAGATAGACTCATTACATGCAAAGCAAGATAGTTCAAGCCGTGATTTGTCATCATTGTGATGATTATGGCTTACAGCTCATGAAAACCCCAAATCCACAATCTCAGAAAATGAGAATATTACATGCAATCAATAAAACAAGGATTGTACATAGAACAATATCGGACCTCTGAAAAGTATAAGCATGCATATGTATTCAGTTTGGGTCCCTTTTGCAGCAATTACTGCCTCAATGCGGCGTGGCATGGAAGCTATCAGCCTGTGGCGTTGCTGAGGTGTTATGGAAGACCAGGATGCTTCAATAGCGGCCTTCAGCTCTTCTGCATTGTTCGGTCTCATGTCTCTCATCTTTCTCTTATCAATGCCCCATAGATTCTCTATGGGGTTCAGGTCAGGCGTGTTTGCTGGCCAATCAAGCACAGTAATCCCACGGTCATTGAACCAGGTTTTGGTGCTTTTGGCAGTGTGGGGCGGGTGCCAAGTCCTGCTGGAAAATGAAGTCAGCATCCCCATAAAGCTCGTCTGTGGAAGGAAGCATGAAGTGCTCCAAAATCTCCTGGTAGGCGGCTGGGTTGACTCTGGACTTAATGAAGCACAGTGGACCAACACCAGCAGATGACACGGCTCCCCAAATCAACACAGACTGTGGAAACTTCACACTGGACTTCAAGCATCTTGAAGTGTGTGCCTCTCCATTCTTCCTCCATACTTGGGGCCCTTGGGCCTCTCCATTCTTCCTCCATACTCGGGGTCCTTGGTTTCCAAATGAGATGCAAAAGTTGCTCTCATCAGAAAAGAGGACTTTGGACCACTGAGCAACAGACCAGGTCTGTTTTTTTTTAGCCCAGGTAAGACGCTTCTGACGTTGTTTGTTGTTCAGAAGCGGCTTGACAAGAGGAATATGACATTTGAAGCCCATGTCCAGGATCCGTCTGTGTGTGGTGGCTCTTGATGCACTGACTCCAGCCTCAGTCCACCTTTTCCTGACAATCCTCCCCAGGCTACGGTCATCCCTGCTGCTTGTGCACCTTTTTCTTCCACACTTTTCCCTTCCACATAACTTTCTATTAATGTGCTTCGATACAGCACTTTGGGAACATCCAACTTCTTTTGCAATTACCTTTTGAGGCTTTCCCTCCTTATGGAGGGTGTCAATGATGGTTTTCTGCACAACTGTCAGGTCAGCAGTCTTTCCCATGATTGGGATTCCTACTGAACCAGACTGAGAGACCATTTAAAGGCTCAGGAACCCTCTGCAGGTGTTATGGCTTAATTGGCTGATTAGAATGGGACACTTTAAGCCTAGAATATTGCACCTTTTCACAATATTCTCATTTTCTGAGATTGTGGATTTGGGGTTTTCATGAGCTGTAAGCCATAATCATCACAATTATGACAAATCACGGCTTGAACTATCTTGCTTTGCATGTAATGAGTCTATCTCATATATTAGTTTCACCTTTTAAGTTGCATTACTGAAATAAATGAACTTTTGCATGATATTCAAATTTTTTGAATTTCACCTGTAATGTACCGAGGAAGCTGTAATATATAGGAATTTTTGCCAAATGTCATTAAAGGCGAACTAACTCTTTAAAAAAAAACTTTGTGATTTATGTTTATTATTAATTCTGAAGGACATCCTGGGCTCCACACCACACTCTTTGTTTTATTAAAGCCAAAAGTATAACTAAAGGCAAAACTTTTTTTTTCAATAGAGTGAAAAGGGATTAGAACCCCTGTGAGTTTTTATTGCTGTCTGTGCCCCCATTAGGAAGACTCTCCCTCTCTATTTGTCCTGTTTACCATTATCACTAAAAGTGAAAATCTCACATTTTGGTTTGTCCCCAGAAAAGTAATAGAGGGAACATCTTCCAATGTGGACACTAGTTCTGATGACCTTGGGATGCCCCAAGGAATTCCCTTAATTTACAGGGATTTCCACACATTTGTTTTGGCTATGGAACAGGAAGTTAAAAGAAATCTCCGCAATGGGACACAGATGGAAAAAAAAAATCTTGCAGGGGTTATAACCCTCCATTACTCTATCCAAAATGAAAACAAAACGTTTTGCCTATTATTCTACTTTAACTTTACTCTGCTTATATTTTGCCTTCGCTGGTTCCTCTTTCATCTTTTTAACATGCTAATATTTAAATAATACCTTCCAATTTTCATTACATACTTCTAACCCAGTGATATCACCACTTGCTCTCCATGCTTCTCTATGCAGTGCAGGCAGATTGGAAGGGTTCAACAGGGTGCTAGTGGATACCTTCAATACCCACATGTGATGCTGACTCTGCATTGAAATGTTGTAAATGAAAGGGGTTGGTCTGGAACAGTCAGGTGGTGAGGGGTTAAATGATGCTGGACATCCTCCAGCCAGGAAACGGGCTCTATCTGACTTGCTGCAGCAATTTCAGTCCAGGAGAGGAGCTTGTACATCTGTGCAGGACTAAAGGGAAGGCTGATGGTCAAATGTAACTGTAGCGTCCTGCGAAGAACATAGTGACTATTGTTCTCTATGGCAAATCAACCTCTACGAGTTCCCTGCATGTCCACTGCTAGTACTTGTTAATTGAATCAGGAGGAACTGTGGTGGGTCTCTCTATTCAGCCATCGAGGATGAGCAGATGCCTACCTGTCTGTCCTTGATGACATCCACCTGTCTATCGTTGTCTACACTACTCTTGTGTCTAGTGGGGCTGAGGAATAAATCCAAGAAAATAGGTACGATTCTAATTATGAAGTCACTTACCTCCAGGCCGGGTATGTAGTGCAGGGTAGGCTACAAGAGAATAAAAGAAAGTCACTCAACACAGGTAAAGATACAATGATTCATTTCTGAGAGTATAAAAAAACAGTGAGCGCTCCAATGGTCAGCAGCTAAACATTCAAGGAAAACACATAAAAGTCCCAAAAATATATATATAAAAAGAAAATGCAGCGCTGTGTGATGTTACTATATTGCGGGCAGATATAAATAATAAATGAAACCAAAGCAAATGAATAAATGAATAAATAAATCAATAAATAAATACCAGACCAGAAAAGAGAGGGGAATCTCCATGATATCATATACACATGCGTATTATTAATACGTTTCTGGTTAGTGCGCATTTCTAACTTTTGCACTGGGCATCAGCGAGCACCATTACTGGACTGTGATTTATTTATTGATTTATTTATTGATTTGCTTTGGTTTCATTTATTATTTATATCAATATAGTAACATCACATAGCGCTGCATTTTCTTTTTAGAATGATTCATTCCTGTTACTACAGCCTAATGCACTCCTAGCAGGAGAAAAACTGCCTAAAAATCCAACTAAAGCTGCACATGCGTTTAGGCACGTCAAGCATTTTTTATTATTTATTACAGGTACTTCTATAGTGTCATCAATTTACTCAGTACTTTACATATATATTGTACATTCACATCAGTCCCTAACCCTCAAGGGGCATACAATCTAAGGTCCCTAACTTACATTCATACATACACATACTAGGGACAATTTTAGACAGGAGTCAATTCACCTACCAGCATGTCTTTGGAGTGTTGGAGGATACCCACACAGGCACAGAGAGAACATGCAAACTCCAGGCAGGTGGTGTCGTGGGTGGGATTCGAACCGGCAACCCTAGTACTGCCAAGCAGAAGTGCTAACCACTCAGCCACTGTGCCACCTTTTGAGCATTAATGTATTCCATTGGCCAGAATATGAATTTACTCTGCCCATTGGATTGCATTAAGTCTAGGTTCACACCTATGCAGGTTGCATTTGAGGCGTTTCTGCATTGCATTTTTCACTTGCATTTTTGACGCGTTTGTGCATTGTTTTGCCGGTGGTGGTGGGGGGGGGGGGGGGTTCATTTTTTTCTTATTGCTAGGCAGATTTTAAAACACAAAAAACGTGGCAAAACCAAAGCAAAAATGCAATACATTCTTTACTGGAGAGTTCCCATTGAAGTCTATAGAACCAAAAACGCAACGTTTTGTGTTAAAAGAACGCACCGGGCAGAGATGTGTGAACTTGTCCCATAGGAATGCATGTTAAATGGACTGTACTGAGTTTTTGCAAAACGCTGGGGAAAACGCTTAGGTGTGAACCTAGGGCAACAAACGTTCAAGCACGCCTAAACGCGTCAGTAATTTGGGAGCATCATGAGTTTGTTCTGCTCAAAAGTTCTCTCCTGAATGATCTTTTGATGGGTTTTTTTTTCAGCCTGTAAATGCTCCTCTTCTGATGCGCCTGTAGATGCCTATGTGTGCATGGAGGTTCACATGGACGTGTGTTTAACCACCTTCCGCCCGCCCTATAGTACAAAGACGGGCGCTAGGTGGTTCTCTTGTTCTGATAGGATGTCATATGACGTCCCACCATTCTCACTGCGCATGCGCGGCTCACGGAACACGCAGCGCGGCGATCGCCGGTGCGCTGTGTCCCTCGGACACAGCGGATCACGGAAAGAGCCGAAGATGTCGGCTCAGTCATGTGATCAGCTGTGTCCAATCACAGCTGATCACATGTACACACGGAAATGCCGGCTATCGGCATTTCTCTCCTCTCGAGCTGTCACGCTGACAGAGGAGAGGAGAGCCGGTAATCGGCTTTCCGCGGAGGGGACATGTACACTGATCATCAGGGCACTGATGATCAGTGTGCCCTGATGATCAGTGTTGCCCCAGAAGTGCCACCTGTCAGTGCTCATCAGTGCCACGTGCCAGTGCCAATCAGTGCACATCAATGCCACATATCAGTGCCCTTCTGAGCTGCCTTTCAATGTCACCCATCAGTGCCAGTCAGTGCCACCTATCAATGCCAATCAGTGCCACCTATCAGTACTTCCAATCAGTGCCACCTATCAGTGCCAGTCATTTTCCGCCTAACAGTGCCGCCTATCAGTGCCATATATCAGTGTCATGTATCATTGTCATGTATCAGTGCTGCCTTTAAGTGCCCATCAGTGATGCCTGTCAATGCCCATCAGTGCCACCTACCAGTGCCTCCTCATCAGTGCCCATCAGTGCCACCTATCAGTGTCCATCAGTGCCACCTATCAGTGTCCATCAGTGCCGCCTATCAGTGTCCATCAGTGCCGCCTATCAGTGTCCATCAGTGCAGCCTATCAGTGCCCATCACTGCAGCCTCATTAGTCCACATCAGTGAAGGAAAAAAATCACTTATTTACAAAACTGTATAACAAAAACTAAGAAAAAACTTTGTTTTTCAAAATTTTCAGTGGTTTTTGGTTTGTTTAAGAAAAAGTAAAAATCCCAGAGGTGATTAATACCACCAAAAGAAAGCTCTATCTGTCTCAAAAAAATGATAAAAATGTCATATGGGTACAATGTTGCATGACCGCGCAATTGTCATTCAAAGTGTGACAGCGCTGAAAGCTGGAAATTGGCCTGGGCAGGAAGGGGGTGAAAGTGCCCTGTAGGCGAGGGGTTAAAGGCTTAAAAAAAAACAACAAAAAAAAAAAACACCAAATGCATGTAAAAGCATCATTCAAGCCCAGTGTGCATGACGCCTTACAGCTAAAGCTAGACTGGCAGCATCTATGCAAAATCAGTTACATCAGAAATACAAATGATTAGTTGATGTGAATTATTTCCTTTATGGACATTGGGTGCTTACATTCTAGGGACATGGTTACCATTATACAATTTTTTCAGAGGTTGTTTCTTTGTTGGATTGGAGAAAATCTAATTCCATTGATGGCCATCTTTATGTAAAAAAGGGCCGAGCCGGAGGGAATACAGATGGAGATGCAGAACTAAGTACATGAGAAAGTACCCTGAGACTCCTTTTGTCTTTTTTTTTGCAGCTCCATCTATTCCAACTGTCTAGAACTCAATCAATGCCAATCACAAATAACTCTGCATGAAATTAGGGGACAAATTAAAGTGTTACTAAACCCACAACAGTACAATCAGTCTGTATATGTAGTAAAGCATACTAGGTATACTCACTGTGGAACCTAAGGGGTTAATCTTCTGCTATGTGTAAAAAGGCTGTTTGATCCTGTCTTCTCTGATCCTCCCCTTCTTCCAGTGCCCCCCTCTTATCTCCTGATAAGACATATCCTGTGGAGTCACTCTGCACATGCTCAGTTTGGTGTGTATCGCTATAGAGGTTTTTTTTTTTCTTGGTAGAGTGCATGTGATCAGCACAGGGACAATCAGCACTGTCCAGACAGAGGTCTGGGGTTCTGCATCCTCCTAGAGCAGAAATAAAACTCCTCCTACAAGATTTAACCAGAGCTCTAATGAACACTGATAGAAGTCACAAGACTGCTATATACTGCTGATGAGAAAAGGTATTTAGCAGTTTATATTTACTAAAATAATTGAATTTCCATGTCCTGTGTACTGCGGGAGAGCGGATATAGTGAATGCAGGGTCCTGGGAGACCAGATATAGTGAATGCAGGGTCCGGGGAGACCAGATATAGTGAATGCAGGATTCTGGGAGACCAGATATAGTGAATGCAGGGTCCGGGGAGACCGGATATAGTGAATGCAGGGTCCGGGGAGACCGGATATAGTGAATGCATGGTCCTGGGAGACCGGATATAGTGAATGCAGGGTCCGGAGAGACCGGATATAGTGAATGCAGGGTCCGAGGAGACCGGATATAGTGAATGCAGGGTCCGGGGAGACCGGATATAGTGAATGCAGGGTCCTGGGAGACCGGATATAGTGAATGCAGGGTCCGGAGAGACCAGATATAGTGAATGCAGGGTCCTGGGAGACCGGATATAGTGAATGCAGGGTCCGGGGAGACCAGATATAGTGAATGCAGGGGCCGGGGAGACTAGATATAGTGAATGCAGGGTCCGGGGAGAGCTGATATAGTGAATGCAGGGTCCGGGGAGACCAGATATAGTGAATGCAGGGTCCTGAGAGACCAGATATAGTGAATGCAGGGTCCTGGGAGACCGGATATAGTAAATGCAGGGTCCGGGGAGACCGGATATAGTGAATGCAGGGTCCTGAGAGACCAGATATAGTGAATGCAGGGTCCGGGGAGACCGGATATAGTGAATGCAGGGTCCTGGGTTTAGTAACACTTTAAACTGAAGCAGCAGCACAGAGGCGCACAGACAATCTACCCCAAAAATATAAACTTAAGTTTGCAGCCTTTAAATAGTCTTGTGCCCAATCTCCAACTTAATCTTTCCATATATAAAAGTTTATCTTTGCCTCATGCACACGGGATGTTTTTACAGCGGCTGTTTTTGGCTTTTGGCATTTTTTTCTACAGACAATAAACTCCCCAGCATGTTCTCCTATGTGTTCTTGCAGGAAGGGGTGTTTTTTGGCTGAAAAAAAAAAGCCAGAACTAGTGTGTTTCTAGAAGAGATTTTTTAGCTTTAAAAACACTCTAACGCCGTAAACATGGCAAAACACAGCAACCCAGTGTTTTTTAACATCTTTTGAGCCCAAACTGTATTTATTTATTTTTTTAGTGTAAAAAATGCTAACAGAGAAAAATGTGGCTAAACTCGGCAAAACACAGCTAAATATTAATACAGAAAAGCCAAAAAATGTGGAAAAACTCCAGTTTTTAAACACAATTTTATACAGCTAACGCTACCAGCGTTTTTAAAACGCCCCGTGTGCCTGAGGTCTTACAATAAAAGTCGAGTTTGTCTCTGCCCTCTCCCACCTCCTAAATATCCCTGAATGTGCACAGTGGCTAGATGGTTAGTACTACTGCCTGGCAGTACTAGGGTCGTTGGTTCGGATCCTAACCACAGCACCACCTGCCTGGAGTTTGCATGCTGTCCCTGTGCCTGCGTGGGTTTCCTCCCACACTCCAAAGACATGCTGTTAGCTGAATTGGCTCCTGTCTAAATTGGCCCTAGTATGTGTATGTATGAATGTGAGTTAAGGACTTTAGATTGTACGCCCCTTGAGAGTTAGGGATGGATGTGAATGTATAATATATATGTAAATCACTCATTGTGTTCATTCAGGAAAGGAAGAGGTGACATATTTACCAAACCCGTCCCCTAGTCTCCATCCTGAAGGATCCTATTGCATGATTGATGCTGCCAGTGGGAAGGAGAGGAGGGAAGTCAGCAGCACTGCAGGGGTGGGGCACATAGGGGGGGCCTGGGCAGCAGGGGGGAAACATATGGATCACAGGGAGGGTGATGGGTGCGTGGTGGGGGGGCAATTACTGGAACCGGTCCCCTGTATTGTTCTCTCTGCAGCAGCTGAAAGCCAACAGGAGGGAGAGGAAAAGAAGCCAGCTTTCAGCTGCTGCAGAGAGAGCCATACAGGGGATCAGTTCCAGCAATTGCCCCCCCCCCCCCCCATTCCAATCACGTTCCCTGCTCACATCAAATTCACCCAGCTGCCTGGATCCTGTACAAGAGGATTGGTGGTATCCCCCCTTATCAACGACCCTGCCCACAATGCTTTACAGGCTCCTAACAAAATCAATAAATGCACTTTTTTTTTTACCTGCAAAAAAAAAAATGTGCATTTATAATATTATTTTGGAAAGGTGAACTTATCCTTTAAGAAATGCTTAGATTTCAGAACCACGTTAATGTTATAGGCAGCCTTAGAAACTCAAAAAAGAGACAGAAAAGCACAAATAGCGTATGCAGGTAACTAGATGTACGGACAAGAGCCTAGTTTATTGTGTTTTTGCAAACCACAGGTCCCTTGGACACAGCTTAGATGTGAACCTTTCACAAACAATATGCATTTCTAACTTTATTTCAAATGGCATGCCAAAGGCAATCTATAGAACATGAGATCTAAGCGGCTGAAGTTACAAGCAATTCCCATGATGGAGTCCATCACACCCTAAAACATGTGCAAGACTACATGAGATGGATGCTTGGGAGATGGGTGAAATTGCACTTTAATAAATAAAGTTTTAAACCTTATGTATAAACAACATGTCACATCATCATTCCTGAAAAGCTGAGTGTCTTGGTAGGATAGTACCCCTGTGTTACCATCAAAAATTATTTGCCACTAGTCCATTAACCCCCCTGGAGGTATTCCTGAGTGTAGCTCGAAGTAAACATTCAGTACCACAAGCGGTAACCCCGAGCTACTCAGGATTACCTTACAGCATTGCTCAGGGATTCCCTCGATCACTTACCTTGTCCTTCGCTCCCGCGATGTCCCCCCTGCAGCGTCCCCAGCCATCTCCTCCGGCCGATGTCGGCATCCGTCTTCTGGGTTCCGTTCCCTGCGACGTCGGGACGTACAGGGGGCGGAACCGGCGGGAAATTAAAAAATTTTAAAAGTGACATTCACTAAATACACTAAAATCACATAGTATAACATTCCTGTATCAAACCATTTCACATACATTTTGTCTCGAGTGCTTTGTCCGGCGCCCTGCCTGCATTTTGTCTGTTCTTTCTGCCTGGAAACTGAGAAACGTCCATGGCGTCCAAAAAGCGTCCCTTTAGGTCAAAAGCGGTTTTAGCCCGGCTAGAGAACAGCGATAGTAAATCAGAACCACTTGCAGAATTGAGTGCTAATGATTCGTGGGGGAAATTCGTCATCGGACACTGAAAACGATTCTGCGACTTTGCTCAGCGATGTGCGAACTTGGAGCTCTATTTCACATTTCAGTGTTTTTGGTTTGATTATATTATTGAATTAAATGTATTATTATTATATTATTATTTTTTATGATTATTTATTATATTATAATTTATGATTTCGTGTTTCACATTTTATCATACCCGGGATGTTTACTAGACTCTTGTTCGGACAGATTTCAGTGAGTTATTCCTAAGAATTACAGGCCTACAATAAAAAAAAAAACTTATTTCCATGCAAAAAAAGTACCGCTTTGAGCACAGAAATATGGACATAATCAGACCGCTAGGGAGGTTAAATAAAGTCATGATAAAAAAGTATT